GATGCCCTGATGGCTCTGCTCACATCCCTCTTTCGCCTGCGCAGCTGCACAGCGGGTATTTTCCATACAGCTTTCTGTTGCTTCTTCTGTGTCGCTTTCGCCTTGGCAAAACTCTCGGGTTCTCTTGCGCGCTCTGATATCTCCCAGAATCGCGCTGAGCTTCATGTCTTCACTAGGACCAACTGTTGCCTTTGTTTCATTTTCTCGAGGAGTTGAAGAGGGACCTACAGGCTGCAAGTCCACAAGTCGTATGAGTGCCGAAAGTGCCTGACCCATAAGAGCTTGGAAGAGAACTTGATTCAGGCATGAATCCCCTCTGCGCCAAGAAAACAGAAACGTGACAAAGCCATCTCATTCCTCCACTGAAGACAAAGCGATGATCTTGACTGAAAATGTATACACGAGAGGCAGGAGCCTCTCGTGTACACTACGAAGTGCAATGGCAGGCCTCCATAGCCAGGAAGATGGAATCTACAGCCATTAGTACCTTTGCATAAGCGCACTCAGACGTAGTGCCTGCACGGTCATCTGCACAGTCATTCGAACAGCAATACTGCTGTTAACCGCGAGGCGGCGGGGAGGAAGTCTGTCTGGCAGCCAGCACACATTGACCTGAAGGGTCCCACAAACACAGGTCAACAGTTAACCAGTGTCACCTGCCCCCAAATTTACTGATGATAAACGGGATGTACAGAAGAAATAACAGCACACGCCAGCATATGCGGTAGCATCACAGCCTTACTTTTACGGCCCCCACTAGTAACAAAGCGGCCAAGGAGCTGGCCACTTCTCGGTCAAAACGTGCAGCCTCCCGCCCGTCGATCAGAAGGCGCAGGAAAGTCGTCTGCTCAGATATACTGGACAACAGATTATGAAAGTCTAGCCCCACAAGCGGGCTACATACCCTAGAGCCCAATCCTCCTATAAGGCCCTGCAATGCATCTGATGGAAGGGCTCCTGTGTGTGCGTGCAGCCCGAGGTCTCGATCGCGAAGTCCCCGCTGTACCAGATGTTTCTGGTGTTCCAAGAGGACCGGATCGTCAAGGTGTATATAGACAATTCTGTACCCTCTATTTGATGCTTTGACCTTGCGGAAGGCTTGTTGCGCCCCCACTTTTTGTGTATGCGGCAGTCGTATCTCCACCATCAAACTCAAGGGATCCTGACACAAAAGTGCATAGACATGCTGCTTGTCTTGTTCAGCCCAAATAATAATCGCGTGGAACTGTTCTTGGTCTCTTTAGTTTGCTGCCATCACTGCGAGGAGTGAAGAGAAACTTCTGCTTCAATATGCATGTGTGGGAAGGAAAATCTTTTGAACGATCCAGGGGCTCACTGTGAGGCTCAGCTTGCTGATTGTGCCACTCGTGACTGTTCCGCTCGCCACACATTCCCCCACAAAGAAAGAGAAATCGCTAGGAAGACTGTTAACATCACGGGCTAGAGGCTCATTGAAGGAAACAGACGGTGGTAACTTAGCAATGTCGTAGTTTTTCCTCTTCGACTTGCCTGAGCAGGGAGAACATCAACAAATTGGGCACTTTAGGAGCATCGGGCAGAAAATACCTACCAATAGTCTCAGGCATATCATTAACACTGGGTCAGCGAACAGCAAATGTATTTTATTCCTATTCCTTTCCATTTCCCATTGCATCTCGCTCAAAAAAAGTACCTCACCGGGTGAGGTGCTCGGACTGCGTCTGAGAGGTTCATCAGCTGCTGTTGCTTCCTCATCTTCCGTTTCATCGGCTAGATCTATCACAACTACTTGGCTTCGAGTAGCTGCTTCAGGACTTGTTGCAGCTCCGCTTATCAAAGCCGAGTTCATATTTCTCTTACTAAAGGCTTCAGCTTTCGCTGTCCTGGCCTTTAATTGATTCTGGGTGATTTCTTCACCTCTTCGCGACGCAAACTCTGCGAGGCCTTCTGGATGAGGTGAGTCTGAAGATGCCTTCTGTCGCTTCAAAGATCTCTGTCGGGTGAGATATTCATCCAAAGCTGCTTCCATGGAGCCGCAGCTGCGAGAGAGCCATTGTTCTGCCTCCTCGACACTACATCGTACAAGAGCGGAGAAATGCGCCGCCTTCTCATTCTGCACTGGCAATTGCCCTCCATGTATGTGCGGGTGTCGCATTGCAGATGGCACCTTGTGACACAACTCGGTCTAGCAGAGGAAAATGCACTGTGCAAGTATCGCGTCGTCATTCCATGGGCGACTCTCGACTTTCAACAATTTCAATTTTCGCCTTACATCGAATCCCACTATGTGTAAGTTCAGAAAGCCATCCATTGTATGCCGACGCGTAGGTCATTTCAAGGCAAGGAGGCAGGGACGTGATGATTCTGCCGTTACTTGGGAGCGCAGTGCATAACAAATTCGCAGAAGCATCTGCACAATAGAAATATATTTCCGGAATTTCCTTTGCACATCGTTTCGAGGAATATCGCTGGTAGCAGCTCTGGCAGGAGACCCACTCCTGGTGGGGTTGTTCAAGACTAGTGGCCCATTGAAGGGGGGCCCTTAGCAAAATGATGCACGCATGTGCAAATTCTAATCCTCACAGCGTGAAAAAAATGTGGAGAAGGAAGAATCCTGGTTGAATGCCACAAGGATTTATCCTCCAAAATCACGCAAGTTGTTGCCTAATGTGGGGTGGTCGTTGCCTACTTGACTAATTTTGGTAAATCGAACTTCCGTAATGACGGATCGAAACAATAACACCGCTTCCTTCAGATGTTTCGTGTACATTATATTAGTTGACAGTGGCGCCTGCTTCTACCGATTCTGGAGCACGGAAATGGCTGCACCGCATCTTCATGACTCGTTAATCTTACTGTTCCATAGTCCCACATGCAGAGCTTGATTCCATCACCATAGCGTTAGCGTTCTTTTGACCCGCATGGCGCTGATTTGGAGCTGCAGCAGCTTTGGAGACTATAGACTAGCCTTCCAGAGAACCGAAGCGCTGTCCTAAACAGCAAAAATTAGTTGCCTTTTCCGGCCATGTCAGGTCAGATCTCCAGAGGTGACTGAGGAGGGTTCACATTGGCAGACGTCTCGGCGGGCTTCTGCGTGTATAGGCTAACAAAAAAAGATTGGGCCTTCGGCACGTATGCCTCAGTACGCTGTTTAATGTGAAAGCTGACACAAATTTTACCAATGAAAGCTGATGTAGCGTGATGGAAAGTCTACAATGCACTGTTGTAACTGGAAAAGTTCGTGGTTGGTGCATTTGTCTGACTGATGGGGCACAACAGACCCCGCCCTACACACGAGGTAAGGACAGAGGAAGCCACATTGGACGACTGAAAAGACTGCGAGGGGCGCCCAAAAAAGATCTAGTAAAACAATTAATTTTGTGCATGCAGCATCTGAGGCTGAAGGAGTAGTGTATTCGCCTAAATTATCACATGGAGAAACCCGTTAGGAGGTTCCCCCCTTACGTAAGGATGGCGGCTGCAGTCGCAACCTTCCTGCTTGATCGTCTTAGCGCATTTAGCGCGACGTATTATCTAGAAAAATGCGGCCGGCCGGACGAGCAGCGTCCGCACAGTCAGGACCCATGATCATGCGGAAGCTGCCCATAGTAAGGGGAAACTGTTGTAAACGTGTGTGCTTAGGCAGCGGCGCTAGCTACGCCACAATAACGACAGGCTTTATAACCTCAGAGCTGATTATGTAGCCGAGGTGAGCTTCTGTTGAGCAAAGATGAGCTTGCAAGGCTTGAGATATAGTCGATGTTTGACAAAGATGCTAGGCACCTTCTTCAGAAGTTTAACATATAAGGGAAGACCTGAGCTGGACGTCAGGGTGTCGTCAAGGTGGGCAGTGATAGCCTAGCCACGCAAAGGTTGTAGATACGTGTAAGTACTAGCTTCAAAGGCCGCAGGGGAACCCCTGAAGCTGCACAACCTTGTACTCGGGAAGCCCGAAGACTGGGCAAAGTGCAGTGTTACACGGCGTTCCGTCAGCCGTGCGAATTCGGTGAAAGCCCACCTCATGATCAAGCGCAGAGAATTCCGTGGCCCCCCATGGCGTCACTGGATTAGTTTGGATACACGGGAGGCAGTTGTCGCAAGCAATAGTAACGGTGTCTAATCCCTGGTAGTTGACAACGTTGCGCATGTTTCTGACACGTGAACGTGCAACACGCTCCTCAGTCATGATAGTGAGAGCACACATTTGGGAACAAATCGGGCCCGCCCATCCATCAGCTAATAAAGAGGCTCTTTCTTGCTTCATGCTAGCTTGTCCAATTGCATCCTGTGCAGGGGGCTTCGGTTTGGGCTTTACGTGGCGACAGTAGCTGGACAACCAACCGCTGCGAGAGATCTTAAATGCCCATTGCTTCCGATTTGTTTACAAGTTCCTAATTTGTTTAGGCAGTTTATAGTTCCGTCATCAGTGTATCACGCAATGTAATCCGAAAGGCGGGAGCCTCCGCCGAGCTCGGTGACATTTTTGTCAAAAATCGTACCACACAACTAAACGCCTTCGTTGATGCCACAAAAGATAAAGGAGGTGATTGCTTGTGCGTCACAGAGAGAGTCTTCGTAACATATATAAGCCATGTTGCTCCTACGTAGCTTGTTTGAGAATAGTAAGCCTCTCCAGTCAGTCGAATGGCTCCTCGTCGTTTTCAGGGATGTTTGGGACCAAAATCAAATGATGAAATACCAAACTTTCCCCGCTTGCGTCAATTATTAACCTGGATTTCCTCTTTTTGTGGAAATTTTGCCTTAACATGAGTGCTGCCTGTCAACTCCGGGCCCCTGGCTACCGAGGGGGCCCCTGGGGGCCCCTCAGCAGCAGTATCATTGTGTATGATTCACTAGGCAGACAGTGAGCCTGTTCGAATGTCGCATCGTGCGGCGTGCAGATCGATGGAGATACATGATATTTTGTTTGCGTTCACCATAGGATCGCGGCAGGAAGGCTGCTCCACGGAGCTGGAGGCCGTCCCATTGAAGCGGGCGCTCCATCACCTGCAGCAGGGGAGATGCTGCAGTCTCTGTGGAAAAGCATCTCGTCGTGGGGGGATCTGCCCGCTAACTTCCCCTATACACTGGGATCTGCGGTACCTTATAGCTTTGAGCTTCCTGGTGGATTTGTACAGCTTTCTGCGACGAGCACAAAGCTTGCCCCCAATAGTGCTGTAGATGGCGCCAGTGGACAGCGCCCAATTTTGGATGCCTTGCTTAATCCTGGTAGCGCGGCTCAGGTTTCTGTATTTGCGCTGAAACGTGACAAACAGCAGTCGCCCCCTTCCAGAGGCAGCGGATCAGTGTCCCAGCGCGCATTCGACCGGGCGAGAAACCATCTCGCGAAATGCAAGACACTGCTCCACCCCAACCTACTCAAAGTGCTCGGCACTTATGAAACAAACAATGCCCTTTACATAGTGACGGAATGCTGTTTTTCCCTCGTCCACGTTGCACATCTGATCCAGCTGCAAAAGCAGCAGCAAGACTTAGCTGCTAAACGCCCATCATCACTGCCTCATCAACAAACAAGTGACCCTCCCAGTGGTGTCAATGGTACACTGTCAGACTCTACACGTAAGGCAGAGGCTGCAGCTGCCGCTGCAGCTGAGTTGGCAGGGAAATCATGCTGGAACCTTCTCGAGTTAGCAGAAGGCCTCTCCTTCCTGAACGACCAGTGCAGGCTTGCCCATGGAGAAGTTTCCCCTTTTTCTGTATTCGTCACGCCGCATGGTAAGGCTTGAAAATAACAAAGGAACCCATTAAGCGCCGACAAGGTACAATCCTGTGTTCCATTGGCCCGAAAAGCTCCAGAATAGGGTCAATGTCTCATCAGTGTCTAGAAGTTTCTTATTTGTGTAGTGGCAGAACTGGACGTTGATGCTGGACTAAGTACTGAATAGGTACGCTTTTGTTTGATCTTTAGGGAAGTGGAAGCTAAGCTCGTTTGTACTGACACGCCCTTTGGAGGAGGTAAGTTGGCCAAGCTTCTACACGGAAGTTCTTTCCAGCGCCAGCGCATCTCAGGGATGGGAACCACCAAGGCCTTCATCAGGATCTCGCCCCGACATTCTTGACAGGTTAGGATTGAAAAGTTGCATCACCGTGTGAGGAAGCATTGGTGCATGACATCTAACAGAGCGTTGCTGGAGCACTGATGTTATGCACGTTTGCGTCTTCGTGGCTGTTGGTACTGTTGAGAGACATATGCCAAAGTAAGCCTTCGCTGAACAGCGACTATGCTGCACTCTCGATCAAGCACATTCAACAGATGGCGTTGCTGTGTATGCTGTCCTGTATTCCGTTCCTTAGGTGGGGGCTTTGCTCATTGTTTGCCTGGTGGCAAGACATTCGCCGGGATCCCTATAATTCAGCTCGCCTTCTGCGGCGTAGTGGCACTGGTGGAAATTCATGCGGCGTTTCTCTGGGCATTAATGATACATCTTTCCGTAAAGCAGTGCATGGACTGGAGCCTCCTTTACAACAGCTGATGCAGAAGATACTTGACTCACGGGGCGGCGCAACGCCACTCTCCAAACTGATTGATGGAGGAGACGCATGTTTCGCAGGCACGCGCTCCGTGATTTCACATTTCTGGCTATTTGCGAGTTTGTCCCAATGTATACGGTTGCTGTCAAGTAGTAAGACAAATGACAGCAATTTTGGTCGCTTTTTCATAAGATCTCGATATTTTGCGCACCTGTTAGCACCAGTTTCATGAGGCGTGCCGTTTATGAAAGTAGCTGCTGCACTGCCGAACGAAACAATGGTTTTGAAATTCTTTGTTTATCTGCAGAATGATGTTTGTACTGGTGACACGTTCTTGCTGGTTTGTTTTCTGGCACAGAATGGTGTTGGAGGCAAGTCGCCCGTTCCGATGCCTGAGTGCTGTGTCCTAGGCGATGCTTGTTGCCAGTTTCTAACATTTATCCGGACTTTTCCCGTCAAGACCCATGTGGACAAGGAAGCTTTTTTTGAGCAGCAGTTGCCCGCAGCCCTTCATCAGCAGCAGATATCTTCTGGCTTGGCCTTGCACTTGCTGCTTCCTGAATTGGCGCTGTTGCTCATGAACAGCAGCGCATCAGCATATCACTGCAGCATTCTTAAGTGCATCATGTCTATGGTTACACCTCTTTCGACTTTAGGATGCTTGCAAACCTGCAAAAGCAGCAGCTCCACGGATGACGATGCCGCATTACCATTACAGCTCTTCTCAGAAGTTCTGGCGCATGCATTCGACAGCTCAGACAGAGCTATTCGGTCAGTCTGCATGTTCATTGTGGCTTTTGAAGGGCCAGTTTGCCTTATCAGTCGCTCAGAGCCTGTGCCTTTGTGTTGCATCAGATTCACTCTGCTATCACAGCTACCTGCAGTGCAGAGTTTGCTACCGGACTCTTTTTTTGGGCGGACTTGGGAGCCCCTAATTGTTGGCCTTGAAGATTCCGCTCCTCCTATAAGGGCATTCACTGCACGGATATTGTCTCTCTATGTATCGCGCTTGCCGCGTGATGCTTCGCAGGTAGGTGGCTTACTGAGACTTACCGACAAGAAGAAAAACAAACCAGCGCAGTAGACCAGCTAATGCTTGCTAGTTGCTCCCGGGACAAAAGCATCTATGCGCCGCCAAGGCGACGGCTTGCCTTTTTGGATTTTCCGGTGCTGCAGACCTCCTCTGTATTTGTTCTGCTTGAACAACGCCTGCGAGACGCTGCAGGGGGAGTTCGGCTTGAGGCTGTCGGCGCTGCGGCTGCGGCTGCAACCAATATGCATGACCGCGGGGCGCGTGGTCATCCTAGTTTGCTAGTGGATATCCTTTCTACATCTCTTCGAGATCCCGAAGATAGTGTTCGACTCGCTGGGTTGGAGGCAAGAACCGCTTTTTCCTAAGCATCAGAGCCACACACATAGTCGGCAGGTTGCACTTTGGCGAAGTCGCCGAGGAGTGGACCACTGCTGAGACTCTTTTTTTTTCTTATTCTTCTGTGACTTTTCTTGCAGGCATGTGTTTACTGCGCCCAATTTCTACCCTTAGCAGGTTTGGTGACTTTGCTTGCTGTCGCGCCTGCGTGTTTCTTGTCGCCCTCGCCGGCTGTTGTAGCCGCAGCTCCGGTTTGTATCCATGCCCTCACGGATGCAGCAAAAGCGAGGGCGGAAGAGAAGCAGCAACTATCGGCACACTTAACGCAAGCGGGTAAGCACCGGCTGGTTTTCTCGTTGCTCACCTAATTGTTTGGCTGCGTTGGATTTGTTTGCTGCGGCATACCAGAAATGTCATGGCGTGTGGGCAAGTGGCGATTGTTCAGAGGCAGAGCAGCCATTTCGGCACGACAGAGATAATTGCAAATCTGCGGACGGTTGGCTAACGACAGTTAAGAGCCTTGGGGTCGTACTAGGTATGCAGATGGGGCATGGGCAGTCTAGAGCTTAACGACGCGACCTTAATTCTACCCGGTAGAAACTAACGGTCGTGCATAGTGGCTGGTATAAGCTTCAGTTGCTCGTGCTCTTTTGCAGGATTCAGCAAACGTGGGGACGATTCGACAAAGGGTGCCCTCCACAAGAACAGGGACAGCGGCGGCCCCCGCCAGAACAGCGCAGGCAACGTGCCTACAGAAGCTGGCAGTAACCCCCTTCGTACTTCTGCACATGCTCCTCAGGCACCTGAAGCTCCGTACTCCAGTGCTCCTCCCAGCCGGTCAACTGATGAGTTTAAAGATGCACGCGAGCCCATCAACTCATGGGGTGCGGACAGTTATTGTCGTCACTTAGTCACCAAGCCAGGAATCCCTGCCGTTTCTGAGCTTTTTAACTTGCTGACCCCTGGAAAGGTGCAACTTCTTATGTCCATTCATTTGCTCTCTTCTGAGTTATTTCACGAACATTAGCTAACGTGGCTGGTTACCGATATTGCTGTTAAAAGAAGTTGTGGCCCACGCCTCAGGTGACGACACAGATATTCCTGCAGATATATGGGAGACCACACCAGATTTCGAAACACCGAGTTTTTCTCGAAGTTCTGGCGGAAGTGACGGCACCAGGGGCGTCGTTTCCAGACTTGAGAGTCACGCAGTGGTCCAGAAAGTCCAGGGCAGCTCAACCGAGAGCAGGGCGTCTCGTGTGCATCCCGGAGCATCTGTGAATCCAAGTAACACCGGCGAGCTATTCAGATCCTTTCCTAACTTGCCAAACAATTCACACCGTAGTAAATGCTCTAAAGCCGGTATGCGTCTCCAGGGAGGAGCCGCACCACCGGAATTGGCAGGGAGTGAGGGCACAGGTGCAACGGGCTCAGAGGCAAAGAGGAAGCCCCGTAATTCAGCCACCGCTACGAAAGCAGGCGATGCGGGAGATTGCTTCTCAGCAGACGATTTCTTTGCTTCTGTGGAAAGAGAGGCAGCCCAGCGGGGTTTTTGACCATGGGAGCTCTGCCTGCTGTTCGTTCTCGAACTCTAGCATAGATGGACGTATGGTGGCGCTCTCCGCGGCACAACAGCAGTGAGCCACTCAAAATTTGCGTCGGTTTGAGAGGGTCCTGAAGATGTTGTGCTTGTTCTTGATTATACACCAGCAACAAGGCAGGCTAGTGTACGTGCTTCAGGAAGAATCCCTCCAAACTGCGCATGCCGCCGAGACAGTCAACGCTTTACGCGCCTTTGAGCATGACAAGGAGCACATCGAGAGGCAATTAGCGTGATAGATATTTCAGGTCCCAAGTCTCAATCAATTTAGCTCAATCCGAAGCCATAAGCTCAGGATGCGCAGCTGCCTGGAGGCTCTTGATAATTGTTGACATGCATCTCTAGGGTGGGATGGACGGCTTCTAGCGGAAGGGCTACAGCGTTGTGGCCAAATATATTGTTATTCCGAGTTGCAGAGCGTAACAGATATTATTTGCCACTGTAGAGCCGAGGAGGCCCGAAGGTGTTCCCTCTCTGCCCCATGTAGTGCTGACACGTCGTAACTCTGGCTTATTAGCCATTCTTCAACACAACAGCAGGACAACAGGCCGCACTCTGCATAGTCAGATAGGTCTGTTCCCCTTTTTTTGGGTGCGTGGAACTGCGGTGGTTTGGACCCGTAAGTGTCCATGAAGCAACCGTGGGCGCCACCTGGGTCACGGCTGCGCGAAGGGGAGTCGGCAAGAGTTGCGCAGGTGGGCGAGGCCGTAAGAACGCAGTCGCAGTTGCTTGTTGCCAGGGTGTGGTGGGCGGCCTCGGTGTTGTGCTGCGATGCACCCGGAGGCAGCTTTTGCAACAGCATGTGCTAGGTTGCCTGTGCGTCCCTGGATGGGTTTCTCCTCGGTATTTCAAAAGGTGCACCTGTTGATTGAGGGCTGGTAGCCTTTCCTACCAAACGCGGAGTGCTCGCCGGGGACGACTTAAGGACGGGCGGAAAGAAATCCATCGAGAGGGGCCTGGTGCAAAGGACCGCCCGAAATCCGCTAAGTCTAATGACCATATCCTTATATTTCCCTTCCGTGCTACCAAAATCAAGGATAGTCTCTCCTTCTAGAGTTTCTCATGTGGTGGTTGGCGCGCTATCTCGTTGTCCAACTTACCGAATTGGTGATCCGGCTCAAGAGAACAAACCAGCCGCAGGGATAAGAGCACTTTCCCAAGGGAATAAAACCCAGGATGTATGGACTAAACTGTATAGCGTATCTCATGATGCAAACGAGCAAGAAGGCGCGTTCGGTAGACTTTACGTGTTGTGCAAAGTGCACTACAGCGTTGTCTGCAAACAGCCTTTATGAGATAGTACACATTGAATTAATACAGACAAGGGCGCAAAGTATGTTTGCTCTGTACAAGGAAATTCAATTTCAAAGGGTTGGATTTGAATGCTCTGCAGCACACTATGGATCAGAGTGTGGGGCTGACAACGCCACTATTGCATTCATCACACCCGGGGAGAATGGAAAGCGTTCCCTTCTTCAGTAGTTAAATCTCAATAAGAACAATGTTATACGTTTTTAGTGAAGAATTTAGAGCCTCCTTCGTATCAAAACGAGAACAAACCCCTATACATGTATCGGAGCTTGACTTGCTCTCAAGGTCCGCCTAGCCCTGTTGAGAGGGCGTTGAACCAGACAGACAACGGCAAAACCGTTCTACGGGGACTGACTCCTCACGGATAATACCGTGAAATATGCCACGGCATTCTGCAAATGTTCTGAAACATCTGCAGTCTGTCCAACGTCCAAACTGCGCCCTGCCGCCGGTTCTGTTCTGCTACTATGGGATCCTGCGTGCCTTCCTGACAGAATATGCTCCGCCTCTCCGTAGGTACTTTCATCCTCTTTGTGAAGGTTTACTGGCGGCGCTGGTGTATTGTCCAGCCCCGCAAGCATTCTAAGGCATGCGTCAAAGTTGGTTGCCGCTGCGCAGCGCGTTGCCGTGCCTCTCAACCAGTTCAGGCTATTCTCTCCCAGTGGCAACGCACTAGTCGGCGCCATGTAGTGCTCTCCATTAGCAGTCATGACAACACGCGAAAATGCGGTAGCCAGAGACTAGGTCATCGAAGGCCAATCTGCTGCCAAGCACGTCCGTTGAGTTACACTAAACGAAATGCAGCATAAAAAGCAGAGCAAGTCTTCCCCACTCTCTCAGTACCCGCACGCCGATGCATTCATCTGACCGGTGAAATCCCAGTGTTAGCAGATGGCATCCACGACTGTGGCCCCAGGATGAGGCGAACTGCGAAAGTCTTACTCTGCGAAGACAGACCGGATCTTCTCGCGTCAAAGAGCGCTACGCCGTGTTTCGCCTAATTCCCAAAGCTTGTACCTCTCAGAGACAAAAGGCTACGAAATCTATTCGGAATCAGCGCGTTTTTTTCTAACGAGAGACAAAGGCCGTGTGACAGTAATGGCGGAGAAGTCATGCAACAATACATGCAGGAGTTGGTGAGAGTGGAAACAGGCTCACGTGCCGAGAATGGCAAGCTAGTCCTGCCTACATGCACAATAAAGGAAGCTGGCTTGCAGATGCAGTAACACTGACCAGTTTGCAAAACAATTTCAAACTAAACGGTATCCCTTAGCTGCCAGGGATCGATGAGGTTGAGCGAGGATAGGCGCTTAATATAACCTCAAAAGCATTATTAAGGCTACCTAGAGGAGAGAAATCGTGCGTAGACACAAATAGTACTGCCACATCTTTCCTGGCCAGTTGTCTGATAGTCGACACAAAGGGGCTCCTTAAGACTCTTCCTCATCGAAGCAACACAGTGCCGAGGTTACAGCAACGCTACGGATGTAGCACCATAAAAGGCGATATTTTGAATACTCCTACCACATGTGCACGGTGTTGGCGATGCGCACGAGGACACAGTAAATCCGCCTCTCCGCACATACTATCGAGCGATGGCAAGAAGAGACTGTGGCGCTGCAGCCCACGCTTGCAACTTTGCGTGGCGATAAAATCATCCACGTCTTGGACAGCTATTTCACACATTCAGCAGGACCCTTTGCCTAGGAAACAGCGAAGACGCCGCGCTTTTGAACAGGTAGGAGATGCCCACTCTTGGGATACTAGTAGCATTGCTGTCAGGGAACGGTCCAGTTTGCAGCAAGTTTGTCCTTTCAGTTTCAAGAAAATTTGTTTATACGGACGACTAAGAGTGCACTAAGTCACAAGCTACAACAGGACGAAGCAAAGCAGTCATTTGACTTCGTATCTACCAATGCAATCTACCTGTACGAACCCACGGGTGGTCTTTGAAAGCTTCGTAAACGGGGGTACGTACATAGTCCAGAATCTAGCGTTCGCAGGACAAAAAGCAGTGATTTATGACTAGCTTATACTTTAGTGCTGCAAGATAAAATGTGCTGAAAACAGCAGACGGAGACCCCAATCTGGACTAAATTCCTTAACACCAGCGACGGTGGTCCCCCGGTAGATTTCAAATAGCGCATCCCAGTCGTTGAATGCCGGGCACAAGGCCATGGATGATAGAGCCCATCTCTGTTTAAAACTGCCAGTTCTCCTGCTCAGTGCCCCGACACATGCGTGTTGCTAAGAGGGAGGGACCTGAGGGCCTCTACAGGGTGATGCCTCACTTGTTTCGGGTATAGTGATACACAGGAACGCGGGCGGGACTAAAGGCAAACACTTCTTGCTTTGCAAGCAGCAGGAAGGCTTTTGTTAACTACTGGCACAAGGAACTAAGGCATAGATTGCCATGTCGGTTTGGCCCACAAAGACAGAGGCCTCAGTGATCCTTTTCTCTCGCAGAATGTCAGCAAGCCTAGCTTGTGTAGGTAAGGTGGTGTGTAGTTTGCATCGCGTACATTGCATTGCAGAGACTAAAGGACCCATGACTTGACACCAAAATTCATGGGAGTCTAAGGTCTTGCCTACCCTGCCTTTCATACACGAAGGGTAGTATGGGGAGCAGCTCTGTGTCATTGAAGAGACTTTTGTATTATGTTAAATAACCTCTCCGCAGTTCATCTGTTTTAGAGTTGCTTCTCTTGTTCGAAAATTGGTGCGAGGTGCCGTAACCTGTGCACTCAGAGATGGAACTCTTTTGAAACATTTGCGTTTTGCCCCGTTAGGAACTGTCGAAGCTTCAATCAAGTCCCTGCATACCCAGCTGAGCGGCAACAGTTCTCATGCTTGCACACAAGGTGCACTCACTGTTTCGGAGAACACGCTTGGCTGGCATCGGTGCTTAGGCTCACGACAGAGCCCCTAAGTCTAACTTGTGGCACTAGCCTTCTGGTCTCATTGCTTTTCCTTTTGTCGTTCCTCTCTAGGGCACCATTGGCTTTGGCGCCAGCTGTCTGCCTTTGTGATTGAGCTCTTCATACTTTTCCTCTGTTTGCTGAATGTCGCGGTACCTAGGACCTCGTTGTTGTGTTAGCATCGAACGTGCACAAGCTGCTCTGCTAAGGTGGTAGCAGAGAAGACGCTGTATGTCGTTGGGGAATCTGCCCACCAACTCCTCTTATACACTGGGATCACGCTATACCTTTGAGTTTCGTGGTCTCTTCTCGCTGATTTCTGCGGTACAACGCCAGTAGCAGATCCTTGACCTGGGGGCTGACGCGAACTGAAGCAATTAGCACCACACTACGCGTAAAACTTGCAAAGGAAGGGAATACTGCACTGTATGCATACTAATTCCATTATAATAGTGCGAAATCCTATGTGTTTCGGGGGGTTGTGGCAATGCTGCTGTGGCGGTGGCAATGTTTGGGGCTGGCGGAGACTCGGTACCTGGGGCTGCTAAGCCCTTTGAGGTATTGTCTACCTATCATGAGGGCTGTCGTATCCAATAAAACCTTCCCATCTTAACTAATCAGCTGATGGTTTTGTGTAGGGAAGTGGTGTTAAGGGGTTACTGAGCATGAGGCAGCGCAATCGGCATTACATTGTGCCCCTGTGGAGCCAACTTTTACGCAACTTCCTGATGATCCGTTAGTGCCGGATTAGACGTATTTGTTCATATACACCCTGTTACTTACGTGTACATTTACACAGCGGGCGTGTTACCTTAGGACGGGACGACCAACTTTGTATCGCGAGACTGCCGAGATCAACAGTGCGATTGCAAAGCATTATTATACAACCACGTGCACATCGTGGTCAAGAGGGGCAGCTCTGAGTCGACGCAACGCGTTTCTCCGTGTGCTACTATTTGCGGGATTTCTGTCGTTGTTTGAGTTATACATGGGAGAGCTGCATTGCGCTTTTCGCGGGGTACTGCGACGGGCAAGATCATTCAAGCACTTGCTGGACCGCTTATTCTGCATTGTTTCCCTGTTTGCACCAGCAAACGGCAGAATCGTACCACTGTTTTCAGGAGAAGGCGGGCAAATGTGCTCACGAAGCCATGGATTTCTTCTGGGTGTTCCTCGGTTTTGTTATGTGCTTATGGGGAGCAGATGGCGTGCAAATAGTACAGCACGTGAGTCTATTTACGCTACTTCAGACGCAAACGTTTGAACGCCGCTTGGAAATAGCCTCTGTTAATCGACAAACTGTCAGTGCGCCACTTGTGCTTTCTACGTAGGATCCTCCTTCTCCGCCTCCCTTAGCCGCACTGCCGTACTGTGAGGTGCGCAAAATGCGAGTTCCCTTCTGCGGACGGTTGCATCTCCCTTTAGTTGGCGCCGATCCACTTTACGGAACAGGCTACCCCCTAGGAATACGCTAAACGTTTTCTTCGCAGGCACTGAGAAGCATAGGGGCTGATGGGAGCGCTAAAATTTTCGGAAATGCCAGAAGTTTGTTGCAGAACGTATTACGGACTACGAGAGCACCGTATACGAACAAGAACCGGGAAGTCCCCGCTCCTTTCGTGATAGCTCTCAGTAGCCCTCTCCAGCGTCCCGCCATACGGACGCTGCTGGGTTGTGCACTGAGGCATTTCGGAGGCACAGAAAAAAAGGATGATGTTGCTCTTGATTCAGGTGAGCAGAGGAGTTGTGAGCAGGCACTTGAAGGGCCTTGGGACCCTTTTTGGTGCCAGCTGTGCATTGCCTCAAATAGATTTTGTGCCCGAGCTCCACTAGATCTAAGTCTTGACTGCGTAGTAGTCACAGTACTGCAGGTGTTTGCAGCAAGACGCATGCTCGCTGATCCAAAATTTACCGTCATAAAGATACGCTGCTTTACCCTAATTTCAGGCGTCGGACTCGACAGGCTCCCAGCTGGCGCCGTGCTTCTGACTCTTGAAGTGCCATCAAATATTGGTAGTGGGCAGTGGAATCACGCCAAAAAGGAAGGAAAGAAGGAAGAGGATCCTTACACCAGTCAGAAAAACAAGGCAGGAGCTCTATTCCACGGACTGTCTGCCACTGAGGGTCCGAGCGGTAATAGCTCCACAGAAGACCTTCCCCTTGCAACTGCTGCAAAAAAGATTTCTGATGGCACTGAGGTCTCAAGGGTATCTTCAAAGAACATGGATGTTTTGACAGGAGGGAACTTCACTCAAGCTGTTGCGCTGGCGGCCATAGAGGCTGCAGATGTCTTGTTAATATCTCTTTTACACGAGGGGCGGCTTTTCAAGCCATGGTCACATGACACTCAGGGGGTTCGACCTTTAGGGGAATTCTTGTGTCTCGGGGATACAGCAGTCGCGGGTGAGGATGCAGATATGACTGCGGTCCCCCGTCAAACTTCGCATAGCATTCGACCATCGTCTGCGAATGAAACTGAGCCCGCGAATCGCCAGGCTTGTCTCCCAGAGCACATTTCAAAACTCCTGTATACAATGCGGCAGCTACTAGAGGAGAACAGAGTTCGCCGAAATGGTGAAAGCGGACAGTTCTCCACCCACCCTCGTGACAGTTCGCACCAACTGGCTCTTGAGACAGGCCGCCCCCAGCGGTTGCCTCGTGTTGTCATTCTCACCGAAGTGAGAGCCTAGAGCGCTTCTCGTTAAGCTTGTTAGAGCGAAGCACTGGGGAACGGATGTGACTGTTGAATGGCGTACTGAGTTTCTTGAGTACCAGTAACTCTCTGAATTCGTGCCATTCACGAGCAACTTTTCGCCATCGCAAGCTTTTAAGTTTAATTCCCAGCTAGCGCTGCGAAATTTGGGCGGAACCAATGTCTTCTTTTTTATTTTAAGCAGGGAAGCGCGTGAAAACATCATTCCATGTGCTGGATTATGCATTGCAGATGCCGGTATCTCCATCATGCGAAGATGCAATTGCCGCCGAAGTTCGGCGTCACCTTGGAACCGCTGATGGTAAGCATGGACGGAATAGTGATACGAGGCGCAGCCCTCTTCTTTACTGACCTGTAGCTCTGAAGTGGCCCACAGTGTGATTGTACTGATACCTTCGAGTACTGCAGACAGTGCTCCGTACGGGGCATGCTGCGGGTTCGTTGTCGGTCCTGCAGTCAAAGTAAGTGTAATAGGCTTGCAACTGCATGGAGGTGGAGAGGCTACTCGAGACGTCTTGGATTCCGTGTTGCGAGGAATTGTGCCCCGGAATACCTCACAGACACAAATTGCAGGTACAGGCCCAGAGCTTGGTTTTTCCGTTGAACGCGATTAGGTTCTTTTTTCCTCCATATTTAGGGCTGCGGAAAGCTTATGCTTGTAGCGACGGCATTAGAGAAAGCGATTTGCATTGCTGCTTGTGTCATTGAATCCTTGGTGCTGATCTAAATTTCTGCAGACGCAATAGAGAATTTACTGACTAGACAACCCGATTCTGCTCCTCCGAGCTCCACGGAATTTGCTGGGTGTGCACTCGCCTGTACTACAAGCGCAGCGGCTTTTAGGCGATCATTGGCATTCGTCAAGGTGCGCTCTCGCCGCCCAGCGAATAGAACTTGCCCTGAATAATGAAGAAAAAGAAGGTACCCCATGTGCCCTTGGGTGAACAAACGCCTTGATTTGCAGTTTTTACCCTTGTCGCTGTTCAGGGACGATTGTGTGAGCTTCGATACCAGGCGGAACAGGATATAGCATCCAAATCGTTTGGCGCTACAGTTCAAAACATTCTTTCAGAAGCACTGGCGCTATACGACTACCAAACCCGGCGATGCCAGGTAGGAAGGAGCCTCGGTGAACCGCACTCGTGATGGATATAGCAGAGGCCACAACAGTTTCCATGCCAGCTGATCCAGTAGTATGTGTTGTTTTCAGCTTTCCCCGGAGCGGGAGACACAGCGCAACGAGCTGCTGCGTTCGTTGGAAAAGGAGCTTCGTATTCTGTACCTCAGGTGCGGTCTCATACGCTTTATGAAACTGCTCGTCGCAGTTTCGTAAAGTATATGAATTAGAGTCTGCGTTTTGCCGCTACTTTTATTGATGTGAATCTGCGGAAATTGGTACGAACGTAGGCACTGCTTGGCTTGTGCAATTCAGGAAAGCTCTGCACATAGAGAACAGCGCGCGATTGAGGCTCCGGGCAGAGCTAGTAGCTGCATTACAGAAAGATGCACGTGCCTTCGGATCACACACTCCAGGCATCGTTAAAAAGGTCTTTCATGCATTTGTTTTCATAGCTAATACAATATGCAGAGCATTCATGAAGCGCTGCTGGCTAACTCTCAGCTTGCGGGGCAAGCCTTAATCTGAAGTCTATACACATGGAGCTCATTAACTATTCGCACACTGTGAATGCCTTGGCTTCTCAGGTGCTAACTGCAATGGACGAACAGTTGACAGAATTACTACCCCCTGTCGCCGTAAAAATGGCTAAGAAGTTCAAAAATGCAGTTTCTGAGAGTCAGGCAGTGCCTGGTAACTCGCTGTGGCAGCCAAGTCTCTCAGATATCTCTGAGGCATCGGTTAGGTCTGGTCGGGATGCCTGGCTTTGCCACAGCCTCTGCACTTCCTTGTTTGATATTCATATGCTCCTCCTTCAAAAAGCTGCTAGGGACTTCTCGGCTATAACGCTGGGCTTTTCCAGGTCAACGCTTGCTTCGTTGCTCCGTCAGCAGCAGGTATGTTTCAAAAGAATATTACAGTGTTTCGTGGAGTGGAAGTTTTGTCACACAGGTCCCATCGGCTCTGTTCAACAAACGAAACTTCCTGTTCGCTGACGTATTTGTCAACGTATTGTCAACTTATTGTAACTGTCCGCATACACTTGAATATGTTTTTCAATAGATGACTGCTTTACAAATCTAAATTAAAAGTATCACCCGCCAGCGACGTGTGCGCTTGCAGAGCCGTACATGGCTGGGCATCTCACTTCGGCCGTCTCTGTCCATAGCCAGTTTACTACGCTTGCGTGGAAGCGGCAACCTTCAGGGTTATTCGCGCTATAACGCCGGACCGATTCAGCTGATCTTCGGGTGAGGCCATTAGCACACTGGACTTAGCGTTGCTTAGTAAAGCTTGTGCTCTGAAGGCTGCGGAAACACTCCCCCAGTTGACGGCCTCCGACTCGTGTAAACGTATTTTATGTCTGTGGTAATCAGTTTTACGAACGACGGTGAAGGATTGGAGCGGGAACGTCAAGCAGCTTTCCGTTTGCAGCCAAAAATACACTTTGACGTCGAAGTCGACTAAAGGCCACACGGCTGTGTGGCCGTAGCCGCTGTCATCCGTATCGTCCTCATGCCTCTGGAAAATGGTTACGAAAAACGCCGTGAGATTATTGCCTGCCGAATGCATGAAAGGTGCGAGAAGGGCAGATTTAAGGAATCTTGTTTCAGGACTGCAGTGGGGCGTGACCTCCACAACGGGCTCTTCGGGATAGTTGATCCTGACAGTTTCAAGCAGGAAAGTGCGCTTGCCCGCACTGCCACTTTTGTCAACAGTGAAAACAAAAAGCATTCATTACTCCGACGCGTCTGTCTACAACGTGGTGTGCATTGAGAGTCTGCATAACAGTTATGTTGTGAGCCCGCGTGTGCTCAGCTGTAAACGTGCATTGAGTACTCGTCTAAAGTAGTAGAGGCACTCAGCGAACATGAACTAGTGAGCAGAAGGCCTGCCGCTAGACAATGCTAGAAGGCTGGGAAAAGCGACATCACTATCCTGTGGAAGCTACAACGCGCCCTTCGGTTAATGCTCGAATGCGCCGCGCATGTATCGTGCAACGCACTTCATGGGCCCAAAATATCCGAAAGCTTGCCATCCCCACTAATGATAAAAGTAGTGAGGGCAGCTACGAAGTGAACTGATCCAGTGCACCAAAATGAAGGGAATTATCAAACAAGGGCCGCGGCGGAGTAGCCTTTCATACTACTCTGCCTAGGCCCGATGCGTTATGCGACAAATAGTCAGAGCAACTCGTTTTGCTAGTAGCGGTTCAAGGATGGCAAGAATATCAGAGCTCACGGCGACCCGATGGTGAGCGCAATAAAGTCACGTGGAATACGAGAGCAGCGACAAACTCCGGAATCGATTGTCCTACTAATGAAAAGTTTTATTGTTTGCCTATGGAGTGAACTGGACATTGGGTTAAATTCTTCAGTGAATATGTGAAGGGAAGCCTCCGCTCGAAAAGCGCGACTGGGAAAGAGGATTTTGACCCCTCGCTCCTATATCGGCTCGAAAGACGCAGCATATCGAGGCTTCAACCTTAGTATGTAGCCACGTGGATTGCGTATTGTTCACGGAATGTGGTTCGTGTGGAAGCACCGTGGCACTTGCAGAATCACAGGTGCAGTCGCAGACCATGGAAGATCGCAGTGTGTCTGGAACCGCTATATGTGAGGGAAGCTGAATCAATTAGACCCATTTTGGTTACCTGCAAAAGAAGGTTTTGTTGTGGCGCACACAGCAACGAGGCCTCTAGCCCTCTAGCCAGCATCCCTCAGCAGTTTGCCTGCCCCAAAATTCCCCGGAAGAATCTAAGAGGAGCAGGATTCAGAGTTTCTTGCGGCAGCTGCCCTAAAACAAATGCTTCCCTTTTTTTCAAGTACTATTGTATTTTTGTTTGACACGAAGTGCAGTCACACGTTAGTGGTAGCAGACTATGAGCAGCTTGGCGAACGGCCGCCGTTTTGTGGTGGTTACGCTCATTGCAGTTCCTAGCTAGCTTGTTACTTCACCACCAAAATGACACTTATGTTTTAAAAGGAGGCTGTGTCGCTCTCTTGATGGAACTGGCAGTGAGGCTAGTGCCAACGAGCGAACGTGCCCTTCCATTGGTCGTGTGTTCGACAATCCCTGCAGTTGCTCCCGGTCCAGCGTCTAGCGGTCTGACAGCTATGCGCAATATTCATGCAGTTATTATACCCATCTGAATCCTTTGCACGTGCTTTAGCGTTTATAATTCAGAGTATTTGCTTCTGGCGCACATTTGTCTCATCCCAGTCGTGTGCCGACATCAATGCCACAGCGGCCGCTCAATGCAGCATTTGTATCAGGCTATTATTAAGTGAAGCACCCCCTGAATTTTTCTTATGCGCATCATGTAAAGCAGGATGGAGCCCCGCACTATAAATAGCCTTTCTTTCTCGGCACGGCGATCATTTTATCAAGTGCTTCGGAATGTTACATGGCTGCCACTAGAAATAATTAACAGCAAACGAATGCGGTTAATGACTGTTAAATAAGTGATGATAGTGCTTTTTCTGCTTTGTGCCACAGGAAGACGGTTAAGTACAGCTGCTCCAGCGGCCCAACGTGTGTGTCTTGGAGCCAACCAGGAGCCAATCAGCACGTAGAATAAAAAGCGCAACGAATTCTCGTATGCTTACCAACATTTCATAATAGTCTCTTGCTTACTGTGAGCTTTTATACCAGGAACTGCTTAGAGTTGGCTTGCAAGCCCGTACGTTCAGTGAAGCTGCTGTTGCCATCGTGGTCAGATGGGGTCTCCGGTGCGCGCCTCCCAGAAAAGCAAGAAAGGCTCCCCAAAAAATTAATGGCTTCATACTGGCTCGACAATGTACAATACATTATAGTCATATTACAGAATGCTAAAAGGAGAAATAAAAACGCGTGATTCCTTAGTGCAATTGTGCTAGCCACTGACTGTGCCTCTAGCGGACCGCAAACCTGCACAACCCTGTGTGCTTTCCAACTCAAGGTCCCATCATTTGCAGCAACGAAGATTACTCCTTGCTTTTTGGCAATTGTTTGGCTTTTAAAAAGTATTTTTTCCTTTGTTGCATTGCATAACCTCATTTCTCTTTGTATTCACATTCAAAATGGCTCGAGCGTTGTCGCTGGTCGCTTTGGGCTTGCTTTTTTCCCTTCCTCCAAGCTCAGCCGTTAGGACGAGAGTCCCAGGTAAAACAGATGCTTAGATACATATTTGAGTAGCTTACCTGGTGCCAGTTCTCGGGGCTAGTGTACAGAACGGCGAGGGGCACCTGCCACGGCGCCGCTGGTTGAGGTAGTTCTTGAGCCTCCATACGTTATGGTACCTGTGATGAGGGGGTCGTCATTACTGGGGAATCAAAGGCTTTGAGCAAAACTATGATCTATATGACTATCTGCTGTGCGCCGCGGGACTCTATAGTTCGCGAGTTCGCTAGATGGGCACCCAATTGGCTCGATTCCTAAGGGTCATTTTTGTTCTTGAGGGAAACATGGTCCAGTTATGGGGTCAAGAAGTATCTTAAGCCTGCTGCTACCTCGCGTACCATGTTTCTGCGCTCTTGTTAATTCAGGCGAAGATAGCTTCTCTCCTGAATCTGGCGTTCTCAGTGGGACAGATGCGCCGGAACGACGTCCCAGTAAGCCTACTCAAATTTGTTGCATCAGCTGTAATATGTAGTAGAGTTTCTTGCCCCTTTCTTTTGAAGATGCCATGAGGACCTGCGTGACGACTTTTTGTGTCCGCGCAGTCGTGCCTGGACTAGTTGAAGGTAACTGCGGCAGGCTGACGGTTCGTAACGGCCTGAGCGTGGATGAGACCATCAAAGTGACCAGCGCTGGATGGACGAAGAGCGAACGGGACTTCATTGTCTCCCTTGTTGCCGACGAAACGCGCAAAGTTGTTCAGCTGAGAGAATCAGAAGGTGCATCCGGCGCCAGTGGCCCTGGACCCGCGCCAGCTGAAAAGCCTCCAAGTGGCCAAGGAAGCGCTGAGGAGGCTCCTAAAGGGGAAGGTGGACAGGAGAAGCCGTCTGTACCCTTGATTGCTGTTCGCATCCATGGATCTGGCGGCGACAAAGGGGAGAGCGCTCCGCAGTCGGCTGTTCTGCTTTACGGAAATGATGAAAGCGAGCCTACGGAGGTTCCCCTAGAAACAGCAGCTGGACCGACCACGCCACTCATGGTACTCATTACGCAGCAGAACCCAAAGGAAGTGGAAGTCCGTGTTCTTGCTTGGATATCTACGTAAGTTCACCCCCTTTGAGTTGCAGCGTCGTTCTGGTGTATATTCGTTGGCAAGTGAATATTTGTGTAGCCGGAGAGGCGTTTCGCGGATCTTCAAGTATAGTGACTTCTGTTCTCTCTGCAGGGACGCTACAACTGGAAAGGGCTCTTGGAAAGAAAATTCCGTGGTCGTTGGCAGCTCCTTGAGCGGGCGCGACCTTACCGTGAACTTGAGCGACTGTGGACCAAGCTCCCTCAGGGTTTATGGCTCGGCATCAGCTGACCTTGTAACTGTCAAGGAGGGCATGTGTGAGGCAGACGACCCAGAGTTGATCGCGCTGACTCGGCCTCATACATCGGCAGCTTCTCCGCTGCCTGCAGAGGAAGGAGACGTAGCGCAGGACGCCCAGCAGAGCGCAGGAGCCCAGCAGGAAGCAGAAGCCCAGGAGGTTGGAGAACCCCAGCAGGAAGCAGCTGCTGCAGAGCAAGGAAGCAGCGCTGCAGAGAGTGACACTCAACAGTCATCCTGAAGGACTGCTTAAAAATGTGCAGTGTTGATCTGGAAGAGGTTCAAGCAGAGTGACGCAAAGACGTGTCGCTTGCTTTGATGTTGGCTTCCGGAGACGAATGCATGCATTATTTTGGCATTTTCCCATTCGCGGAGCAGCGGCTTACAGGAGGATGACACGGCTTTCATTGTGCTTCATGACGCCCACTGTTACACACCTTCGCCATTGCTCTTTTTGGAATTTGGGTGTCCGGCATTTTTTTGGCCACACAAACGCACTTCCTCACATCCACCCAGCCACATGTACACATGTACACAAACACATGCAAACACAACGTGCATTCACTGTGAAGTTGCCGTGTGGCAGCGCTCACGGGGGGAAGGTAGCGGGGGAAAGGCAGGTCCCCCGCAGCGGTAGATGCAGGTTTATTCTACGGCAGGTAGAGGTTGCAGCGAATGGGGGATTCGTTTGCTGAGTAAATTTCATGCAGGTCAGTGCCTTACTAGAACATGAATATGGTCCCACAGAGAGCTTGTTGTAAGCTATGGATGCTTACCTTGCAACAACCATATTTGGTGCCGGGTTGCGCATTTTTACTTCGTCTTGCCAATGTTGCTTCCACATGGGTAACCTGGTTTGATGGGCATTTGAGTGGAATTGTTGCTACGCGTCGGTTCTTGTAGATGGCGCAGTTGCGTCTCGCAAGCAGACTATACTTTAGGCTGCTGACCAGTTCGTGCAGTCCTGTAGATTTGTAGCTGTCAATAGTTCTTGAATCATGTAGCTTTGAACATCCCGCTCAGCCTCTTGCAAGAGGGATAAGGGTTTGGCTGACTTGTGAGGTGGCCTTTGTTGAGGTTAGCCGGCCACACGTACTGTAGTTGGAGCGATTGGCGGCAGATGGCTAGCAGTGCAAGGTCTACTTGGTGGTACGTCACGGCAAATGTGGCACTGTGCGTGTGAGGGTGCAATACCGGCAGCTGCAGCTTCCTTACCATCTAGTACAGGGTAGTCGCTCACACGTTGCACAGTGCCTGTATACGCTCTGGTTTTCGGTTGCTGACCGTTGTTTTTTTTTCGCGTAGGTATGTTGAGAGTTTTCGAGAGACTAACCAGTGGGCTGACAGCACTGGGGATCCACAACACCCCAAGCGTCATTGCAGTGCTTCCCCAAAGTCACTAACAGTGAGCGGCTGGATCTAGAAAGTGAACTAAGTTTGAAAAATTACAAGTTCATTCTGCTTCTCCAGTGGCACGACCAGAGTGGTAGGATCGACCTACAAGCCCAGTTGGCTCCAGGCGCGGTGAGGTCGTCCCGCCCCTGATGGCTCTGGGAGAAAGTACTTAGGTACCTTGCAGGAACTTCCACGCGGGAGAGGGATACGGCTAATTAGTGACTGAAGTATTGTGTCAACTGTTAACTACAATGGTGCACCGTATATCACCAGGATGGACGAGAAGTTCAGTGACCCCTTGCATTACAGGGCTGACTCTTCGTAGTTACTAAAAGTTGCTATTTTACATTCTTTCGTGCGGTAAAAAGTCAAGGAAACTCCTTCCCCAAGAATCTGCAAAGCAGGTGCCATCTCACGGAAGATTCACGCCGCATCGATGCGTCCCCAGATCGCGTTGCTCACGCTGAAGCGTAGCTAGAGCTTTTGGAGAAGATGTTTTGTTAATTTTAGCATAACTTTAAATGTGCTCAATGTAAGGAATTTTGGGTGGAGCACTCTACGGCGTAAGATGGCTGTGTCCACTAGGTCAACGACCTTCCCCCACTTGCACACCAGAGATGCATCGCTGTTGGGTAGCCTCTCCAAGACAGAGTAGCTGCACTCGACCCCTGATGCAACTTCCGCTTACTTCTCTGGCCCCTCAGTCGTTTTTTTTGTGTTTTTATATGGCACACAATGGTGTGTGCCTCGTCCCAAAGAGTGGTTAGCGTGGCGTTGCTGCAGTGGAATTGGAGTTAGGCGTCACCTCGGCGGTCCCTAGACCTGTGGCAGGCTGTGCCCTGCTTTCCAGGACATTTCGCACTATCCACAAGCATATCGCTGCTACTGATATGCTGTGTTGGCATGTGTGCTCAGTTATTAAGTTGTTTCACGGCCTGAGCTGGACCGGAGCAGTGGAGTTGTCTTGTGTCCCAGCTCCGACTTCTCTGGGGGCGCATCGGTGTGTAGCGACTTTGCGCGAATCCTTTGCGGGACTTTTTGGCTCAGTCCGGACATATTGAAGTTTGTGTGTATGCAGCTTTTTTTTCTTCCTCAAGACAGGGACGTTGTGGACTACTTCGCAGCACCGCATCTCACGTCCTCCTCCCCTCCCTCGGCGTCACGTTGCGGCCATGCGTGCAGGCTTTTGAAGGCTATCATCTCTCTTTAGGGTGGTAAACAGCGTGATAGCTGTGTGTTAATCTATAATTATATTGTTGCATCGACTTTTCTAATGGACGGGTGGAGTGGCAGGAAATTCGCCCGTTTTGTGGTCTGGTCCAGCCGGCCATCCGTGGTCTCTCCGCCGATCTCGGGTGTGCTGATTGGGTTCTAGTCTAGTTACACAGCGTGGCCTTGATCAGAAGGGCCTGGCAGTTAGCTTGAGTCTAGAGCTATATTGGTCGTCGGTTGCTGTGCAGCATCATAGAGCTGCGGCCCAGGCAACCACATCTCTCATCGACGGTAGGCGAAGAGTCGCGGCGACTCGCAGTTGGTGGATAGTAACGAACTCATCCAAAAGAAGGTTTTTTTTGGTATTCATACGGTGGACAGCTGTCCTTTTCGGGGTGGTGCTCTTCGGCGTGACACTGTGTAGCTGAGGATGGTCGTCTCACCCCCACAGAGGCGTCGTAACGGCCATAGAGCGGTAGCGGTGAAGATGGTCAGTGGGGCCAAGGGAGCAAGCAGACTGCAGCAGCTGGGTTGGGAGCGTGCAGCAACTAGGCACGACATGTCTACTTTGAAGACGGCGAATGCCTCCCAAGGAAGTCCCCGGAGTACGGACGGGGATTTATGCGATCCTGGCTTTTTATTTTCCGGTAGAACCCTTCTGGGACTACCCGTTTTCGGTGGGCCAAGTTTAATTGAATCGCAAACTCCCAGACAGCTGTACGGGACGGGCGTCCTACAGGACGCGGGACACTTCGTGGAGGAGGCGGCTGGTGGGGCAGGTGGTGATCCGAAGACATTATCTCTTCAGACCATTCTGCAACAAATGCATGCAAAATGGGATGCGGTGTATGGTGGTGGGGCTGTGAAAGGCGGGGAGGAGGCCAGTGGGTTTGGCTGTGAAGCGCAGGGGACTTGCGGAAGTTACAGAGTTGGCTTTATAGGCAGTGCAACAAACGGAACAAACGTAGTGGGGGGTTCAGTGGGCGAGAGGTCTCATCTGCGGGTAAGTAGGAACTATAGCAGCTTGCTTGTTCATCTCCATGCTCTTTTGGTGCCTGACCTAACATGGAGCGGTTGCTAATTGTATTCGGTCTTGTGTTTGGGTGGCGACGTTGCAGGGGAAGGAGGTTGCTGGAAAGCAAGAGATGGGGATCTTTCAGTGCAGCGGGGATGAACCGTCTCACGAAACTGAGGGACGCAAGGCGCGGGGACTGACAGTGGAGACGTGGAGACCTGTGGTGGAGAGCTCGGAATGTGGCGTTGCTGCAAAGCATGCAACAGTCGATGCTTCGTCGGCTTCACACCAAAGGCCTCAAACGAGGATTGGTGAGGTGCACAGGCGGGTGGGTCAACCCACTCCAGACGCTAAGTACTTGCGCTATGCAACAGCGTGCTGCCAGGATAGAGGCAAATTGGTGCGGATGCAGGACCAAGCAAAAGCAAAGGGAAGCCACGATGCCAGTGACGCGTTAACGGGAAGCATGCTGCCAGTGAGGGAGACATTGGCGCGGCCATCACTCCCATTAGCTCGACATGAGTCCGTAGCCTTGCAGATGAAGAGTTCTATTGAAAGTTTGTATGATGACACTGTTGCTACAATAAGCTCCTCGGAGATGTGCCACACTGACGGTGGTGAGAGCAACTGTAGAAGTAGTAGCCCGAGCGGTGGGCCAAGCAAGAGTGAAACTGGAGCTGACGGGTTCGTTTGCACCGCTCATGTGACAACCAATGCCTGTCGCTCTACTGAGAAGTCGAAGACTTGTTTATCCCTCCCTAGAGAATCATGTGGTAGGGGTGCTGGGGAAGACCATTTTTTCACTATTCCGTCAGCCCATGGAGATACTGAGGGAGAATGGAAGCAAGTGCATCGCATTATTGAAGATTGCCGACGGGAATTGGGTGGTACTGTGCGAGGTGAGAGACTAATGCAGAAGAGACCGTTCGACGAGACGAACAGTACCGCGTTGAAAGGGAGCGAACAGTCAAGAGGCGTTGTGTTCGTTGTGCGGGAAAACTGGGAGGCACTCACTCTTTACTATTGCTCGAGTAGTGGAGAAGTGCGTGCAGTTGCTTCGGAACTAAGTCGTGTCAGCACGCTGAGTAGTCCGCCAGATCTGTGCAAGGAACTACCAACCATGACAATCGGTGGCTCGGGCTGTAAGCAGTGTCATGCGCGGCTAGGCCGTGCCTGCAACGGCTGGTGGAGGTCGCGGTATGTTTTGTCGCGCGTGACGGTTACACTTGCGAATCAGCCTTCCACTGGGTTTAAGCCGCAGGAACACGCAGCTCTTGGTGGCTATGGACGTTATGTTGCTGCTGTTAATGATTGGTCTGGAGACTGGTCTGAGTCGAAGACTAACATGGAGCGGCGGCGAGGAATGCAGTCACCTCTTTCCTCCGAGCCGCCTCCAGCTGCCTCGAACGGTTTGGAGGCATGTGAATACACAGACCAGACGTCTCTACAGAAGGGTGCTGAGGCATTTGCAGCACCAACAGAGGTACTGGGGGATAACGAGACAGCTGTGCACGCGCCGAATCAGTTTGTAAATCCACCGCAGAAGTGCCCACCGAATGGAGAGCACAGAGACATGTCTACGTACAAACTCAAGGAAAACAGTGACCTCGACGTAAAGGAGGTCGCGACGTTGGAGCCCAAGGGTGTGAGCGAATCTAAGGAAACGAGCGTTTTGTCAAACTGTACCGGCGGCAAGCCTTTTGAGACTACAGAGTTCGGAAGAGACCCCTTGGCGTTTCCGGGCGGAGCGAAGGATCCGTCTTTGCGAACAGAAGATAACGCGTTTGTCGGAGAGCAGGAGAGCGGTTATGCAATGAAGGAAGGCAGTTTGTCGCCAGAAGTTGTCTTGTCAGACTTCTTTAGCGACGAGCTTTCCATTGGAGTGCGCGCAAGGAAGGCGCCTGAGACTACAGAGAACAGCTCAGGCGACGTGCGGAAGCCACTGCAATTGCAAGAACCAAACACTTGCGACTTTAAAGATGAATATGGGAACGACACGTGGGCGATTAATGACAGACGGAGCAGACTCGCTTCTCTGCTTTCGGCGCCCTGTGACAGCTTTGAGGGGTTCCATTCAGGCGAATGGAGGGACGAGCCGACCAGTGAGAAAAATTCACTGGATGAACCGTCGTCCAATGCATTGGTCTTTTTAGACAGCCGGGGGTCAAAGTCACAGGAAATGCCACATGAAGGCAGTTCCTTTCGAGTGGCCAGGCAGCGGCAGCGCTATGGTACGGGGGAGCCGATGTGCAAAAGCCGAGCCCACCGTTACGCGGGACCCTACGGAGGCAGAAGGAAGAAGATGAGGAGACCTTCAAAGTCCCAGGCGAGTTCGCGGGAGTCAGCAGAAGGGGCTTGGAAGACACTAGCACAGTGTTATGCTGCATGTGCTCAAACCATCGGCCTGAAAACAGTGGCTGATGCGCAGAGCAGCAGCCTAGGGATGTGTGGGGAGGAACGCGAACTGGCGGAAGAGTTCCTAGATTTCGTTTCCCATGTAGCTCCGGGCGTACTGAAGGCATTAGGTGACACCCATATAACGCGCCTCAGGCAGCGGAAGCCTCATGCCACGGATTACATGCGCGACGACCAACTCCCACTTCTGTCCCATCAGCAAAGCAAGCACAAGCAGGTGAAGCTAACGCCGCAAGCCGTGAGTGGAACAAAGCGGCACATGCAGTGTTAATCCGTGTCAAGTACGTCCCTAAGAGCGTCGTATACTCAGTGTGCTGCTGTGTTGTGCGTAGCGGTTGCAGGCATAGCGCATGGAGGCCCAGGTTGTTTCTCCACGCTGGTTCCTCGTGTCCACAGAATTGCCCAGAGGACCGAAACTTGTGGAGATTGTTTACCAGCCGACCAGGGGATCGGTGACTGGAGGGTTTGATGTAGTACCTCCGTTGATCACATGCCGTGTCACCTACCCTACGGGCGGCTGACCGCAAGTGCGGCGGAGCTTGTGGGTGATAGCCCAGGTTTCAAGAGCTAGAAGGAAGCGTTTGTCCTAACGTGACAAGGCAGTCCCAAAGAGGAGTTCCTGCCAATTGTGGAGATCTGCTATTTGCCAATTCCAGCTGCGCGTATCGGAGGGGTGCCGCCAGCCTATACGTGTATGCAAGAACGGTTCCTAGAGAGGAGTCGTCGCTCTTGTGTTCTACAAGGGTAGGACTGTCTGGAAAATGCACTATGTCTTTGGTACGGAGAGTGCTCGGCGATGGCTCGCTGTTCGTTCCCGAAGTGGAGCTGTACTCCCATCAATAGACACAGTGACGCTCGCAGAATAGAGATGTTCCGCTTGAGCCCAGAGCAAGAGTCACGCTGCACGATGCAGCACGTATTTTAAGGTTGACGACAGACGGGGTCGAGCTAAGGTCACACGGACCGGACGTGAATTTGATCCTAAGCATTGCTCATTGGCAAAGGAAGCGCATCGACAGTTTGGCGGGGATGCAGGAACTGGCGTCAAAAGTTCCTGCGGAGCTATTTTACCCCGTAGATGTTTTGGTACAGTCTGGACCCACGTGTTGCACGTGGGCACAAGTATATAGAGGGACGTCGGCTTTTTCACCTCTGATGTATACTGAAGTACTCTGCGTGTTGGTTGGGGGTGCTCAGCACCAGAACATATTTAAGACACTGTGTAGAGCGGCGGTTTGTGCGCTGCTTCAGTGCAAGTAACCGCAAGCGTTGTTTGTGGGCAATGGGATGGTGTGTTCGTTGGATGCAGTCAAGGTATGTGGAAGTGATTACGTAACGGGCCCGACAAGGACTCGGACGTGATCCAGATCTTCGATTTGTCGTGAGGTAAAGTTCTCCAGCGGCATATTTTTGTTTTTTCGTGCAGGCATCTGCGCCTGAGGGCCTTCGTTCAGCGGAGGCGCTTACGTGACACGTGGTAGCCAGTGTCCATGGTGTTTCGTTTGATGTGATGTGATTCCTGTTTGTGTTCTGGGCGGTGTAGTTGTGGCGTTTTTTAAAAGTGCTAGCTCAGGGGACTAAACTGGAACGACAGCTTCACAGTGGAGTCGCTATGCTGGCGAACAGAGCTGTTGACTGTTCACTGTTCACGAGCGCAGCAGGAGCGGCCAGAAGTATGATGAAAACAAGTTTGGGTTTTCAGCGGTCCAGAGTCGTCTAGTGGGACGGCTGTCACCGCACTAAAGCTCCCGCAGAAAGAAGGGAGCAGCCTGTTTTTCATGAGCAGGCGGAGCTGTTTGCTTCGACAGCGTTGTGAGGTCCCGTTTGTTAAGGGAAGCATTATCCTGGTGCTCAACTGCGCGAACTACGCCGACTGGTTTGTCGGCGAGCGACCAGCACAGCACAGTGTTACTGGCCATGTTTTTGTTTCAGTACATGGGTGCTTTTGTTGCATTTTGAAGCGTGCTTAGAGAGAAGATGAGTTCCTCCAGGCCTACGTTGTGTTCAGCTGTGCTGATTTGGCGCAAATGGCTGCGAAGTAGAGATGATGCAACCTGGAATCTCCAGCAGTTGCCGCTTAGGCGGCATTTTGAGCTGGACCGGGTTGTCAGGAGTCCGGTTGTCAGGGGCCAAGGGGTTGAGGACAGTGCGTTGCTTGGGTCAAGTTAAGATAAATCCAGTAACGCAGTGGCACGATAAACGACAGACGCAGCCACTTTAGCATTAATAAGCGTCGAGACTCCACTTTTGGTCGGTTGTGCGGATTTTACAGGGCAGCTTGACAGCAACAAATTGACGATATGCAGAGTCTGCAGCGTGAGCTAACTAGTACGTAGCAGTGAATATGGAATGACCTGCACCACTGTTCACGAATCCAGCAGTTGCGTTACTCTGCAGAGAATAGAAAGAAAGATGGTAGTCTGCGTCTCCAGAAGTGAAGGCTAGGGTACCGACGTGGCTGTGGGGCTGCAACCGGTAGATTTGGTGTCCGCACAGCTGCAAGTACCAGGCGTCCTTATAGAAGTCATTTGCGGCTGCAGTGGGCTTCGGAGAAGTTGAGAAGCTCACTGACACCGTGGGGACGGCACTAAGCAGGAGTGGTGGAACAGTGCAGGTGACTCATGTGTTCTCAGCAACAGATATTTTTGCAGTAGGTTATCGTCATCGTCGCTTAAGGGCAACAAGGTATCCTTCTCTTGGAGCAGCGGCGTGAGTATGCTGGTGGGTTCAGTGTGTTCCATCAAGGCGAGGCTTCACAAGGCAGCAGGGGACGCCGAGGAAACGCAGAAGCTGAGCTTGGCTCTGAAGTCTTGCTTATCGACGCCTGAAGGATTGCGAATCCTGCACAGTCAGGGAATGGTGTGCTACTTTAAGTGAGAAGTACTTCAACGGTGTAGGTGGGAGATGCGTCTGAGCTCGGTGCACGGATTACTCGGCATTGTCACCTTGCATATAATGCGAAGGTCACTGTGGGGTAAACGCTTTTTCGAGGTAGGACATTACAAGTGGTTCAGCGTCTGAAAAGGCAGTCCCTCCCCAGATGATGCGCATGGTAGAGTTTCATCGGCCAGCATTGTTGGCATATCCTTGCTTCACCGGATCTGTAGAACGGCAAGGCAGGAGTGGAAGTAACGTGGGCAAGCGTCATGTGAATAACGCCCAAGAAAAGCCGTTCCAAACCACTCTCAGAACAAGTTGGAAAGGGATGTCCGCTCGTGGAGGAGTTTCCGACGGTGGATGGGGGATATCCGTAACAACTCGAGTCAGCTTCAGAACTGTCAAGTTGTAAGAGCTCCCGCAGCATGCGAAACACATTTTCCACCGAGCCTTTGAAACGTCTCTTTCTGGATAGACGGAACTGTCAAAGCACGGCAGAAGTGCACAGAGCAACCTATATATGAAGTATGGGAAAGCGGCAGCAGGTTCTAGGTGCCTGACGTCACTCTTCTGGTAAGGCCGCCGCATATTACTGCTGTCTGGTATTTTCTGTTGTGAGTGAAGTTCGCAGCATCATTCTTTCCGTCGGGAAATACTGAAGGTATGTGTTGTGTATGCAACTGTAAGTAGCAGGTGCAGTGGCGGCGGAATGTATTGTGTTTCCCTAAGTGGGTGCTTTTTCCGTCTAACGGATTGCTGCCGTGCTGCCTCGTTTCTGACGTCCATTCCGGTGAAGCCCATTCGGTACATTGCATTTCATTGCATGATCACAGCGCTGTTGTACATTCGGTTCGTTCGTGGGAACGCACGCGTTCGTAGTGAGAACATCTCAGATCCACCACAAAGGGAACTTCCAGTGTACTTTGTTTTGTTTGTTCGTTTGTGGATACGCGTTCCTGATCAACGTGAGAGAAAGCTAGCTGCCAAGGAACTTTATTGCTCTATTTGTAAGTCGCCAGTTGCATGTTTTGCATTGCAGCGAGTGATTTTAGCCGGCTTCTTCTGCCAAGGTACTTCACTGTTCTGTTTGTGAGTCGCCAATTGCATGTTTTGCATTGTTGCGTGATTTTAGCCTGCTTCTGTCTTTGTGTACGACGAGCTTCAACGCATTCGGTAGCTACGGCGAATGGGTTGCAAGGCGCGGTACTGAAATGCATTGCATGTTAAAACTTAATGAGCCGGCAGGAATCGGCTGCAAATAGAAGAGCTATTTAGAGCTCTGATTGTGAACTGGAGCATGGAGGCCGTTTTGATTCTCGATGCCGTCATAGAATTGCGGCGAACAGCTCACTGGGAACGAGACCGTTTGCGGATCGTTGAAACGGGGGGCAAATTGGAATATCCCTTTTAACATCGAAACGCATTGGCTGTTTTCGAGCCAGATTTTGCCGATTATGTTGAGGTAAGGGTAGGGCGGTTAACTCAGACGAGCCAAGCGGAAGTGTAGTGAGCGTTTAGAAGGGTTATCTTTTTCAGTGGAACTTTTGACATAAGTAGCACGAGAGCAATCGAACGTTAGGAAACCACATGTTCAGAGGATATTCGCAGGAGAAATCGAGCTCAGTACAGATGTTTTGACAAGAGGAGTACGGCAGTAGATGCTCCAGGGGTTTCCTCGCTGTGTATTCGAGTAATAAATCTGGTGAAAATACATTTCAGACGAGGAAGATGAGTAAAAGATGCCTGATCTGCCTGACTGCAAGGTAGCACGCCACTGCAGTTAGCTTAGCACGTCAGGAAACCCTAGACAACTGTGAAAGACGAAGAAGACGAGCAGTTGCGTTGGGGTAGAATTTATGTTGTTGCTGAGAGACAAACAAGACGAGCAGTTGCGTTGGGGTGGAATTTATGTTGTCGCTCTAAGGAGGAAAGTGCAGGAACTTGGGCGGTTCGAGATGCAGTGCAGATGCTGGTTGGCCTCTTCTGACGAGGCACCGGACGGCTGTGTGGATCAGGTTATTCTGGCTGGTGGGGATGGAAGTTTGGATGAATTCGTCGACACAACGAAAGAGAAGGGAGAGGCACTCGGCTGCGCAGCCCCGCATGACACTGGGGGAGAAGGCGCACTGGTAGTCGTGAGAAGGCGCACTGGTAGGTGACGCCTGAAAAGTTGAAAAGGATTGAGAAAAGTAGAGTGAGGTTGCATAGTAGGAATCAAGAGAGTGTAGGCAGATGGTTCAGAAAGAGGTGTGTTAGCTCGCCAAATGGTTAAATTGTTTGCAAACGGCTCCGCACTGTTGCCCGATGCAACTTGATGCTGTTCGGGCAATTTTGAACAAGGAGGTTAGGTAGGTACCTAGGGTTTTGGGATTAGCATGAAAGATACCATGCAAGGAATGGACGAGCTGAGAGTCAAGTCTCTGGGTGCACTGAAAGCACAAATAGTGAGTGGTCTAAAGATCTACGCTGCACAAACAGCTCAGGAAATCTGGCAAAAGGAGCAGTGTGGGTGCCTTCAGCAAGAAATATGGAAAGGCTCGGGTCCCGGTAGTATTTGAATATGTTCACCTGCAACGGGATTCGGTAGCGAAAAGTGAAGTGAGATGGTTATATTTTGCATTATCTTTCAGTAATCTGCATTAAGGGTGAGTGCTGGATCCTCAGTGGATCTGCTCATGTGGGATTCGATGAATCAGCAAGTGGCAGTCATGTTGCGGAGAATGCAGTTGAATGGGGTGCCTCTCAAAACTGCTACCATGATCTACAGTAGAGGGGAAACATGCATGCATGGCTATAGTTCTCACTGAGATGCGGCAGGAGTTCAGTTGGGGTTCAGTTCAGTACAAAGCATTAACTGCTGCTACAGCAACGGCGGCTGTGCAGGGTGTGAGCCCTCAACAGGCACCGTGAAACACACATTTTTACTGCGCAGATGGCTGAATTGGGTACGGTTGCTGGTGCGTTTGGCGATAAGAAATAGAGTTTCGTCGTTTAGTACGCCGCAGTTGAAACAATGATAAAGTGAAGGGTAATTTGAACTGCATGTATACTGCAGGTCTGGTTTCATGAAAGATGCAGACTGTGCATGCTAGCAGAGCTAGCTTTACAGTAGGATGTTTTGGCCCACATCCTGCATTTTTCTGCATCGGGAACTATGCGCCGAACAAATATTTTTCGGGTAGCCGCTTAGCAAGTGCAATTCCAAAGCTACAATTATGCAGAGATACGCAGCTGACAGAACAGGCGAACTTGAAGTGAAGCAGATCCCGCTAATCACTTTTTTCTGGCTGTCCAATAGGTTTCAGCAAGTTTTCAGTTTCTGTTTCTTCGAAACTTGCGAAGACACATTCCAGAGACCTCGGACTGCCAAGTGATGCTGTTCTCGGTGTCGGCATGAAGCAGAGGGCAAGTATGGTAGGTTTTGATATAAGTTGCCTTTTGTCGAAGATACACTGTTTCAAAAGGACAGGACTCCCGTAATAATCATGAGGTACTATCGTGGAGCCCACCCGAAAGCTTCAGTAAACGGAAAGGTGGATGAGGGAAACGCCGGGAGTGCCAGGAAGCAATAGATGTGGATCAATTCTTAAATGTTGGAGAATTTTGCGCGGGTGCATGAGTGAGGTACGAGTCAATCATGATCCCCCTAGTTTTATGCCTTTCGAAAGTTTCACAGTTCCTGTGCTTTTTTTCTTTAGATCCGCTTGCCATCTGAGGAGAAAGCTGCAGTGCCTCTACTGTGGTTCCCTCAATTTTAAAATGCCTTCACGAATACATGCGTGCGAAATCTATCACAAGATGAATTCCAGAGGAGAAAAGCAAACTCAGGCTACAACACGTAGCAAAGGCCCGGCAGGAACAGGAGGTGCTTGCTATGTACTTGCAAAGGTTGAGCAGAAGGAGCAAAAGAAAGCTGCCATAGCGTTGCCTAGTTTCCCCGGCGATCATGAAGCAGAATTTGTGATGGCCCCGAGGATGTTTCTATGAAAAGTGCGAAGTAAATTGTATGCTTGTGTCTTTTTTGCATTCGCGGGATTTGTCTGAGTGAAGAATTCAGAACTTGTCGCATTGTAAAGAAAACGAACATTTATCTGTTATAAGTTTTGCGTGAATAGAGAGAAAATGGGAATGGAGTGTTTCGCGGGGAATTATCAACAGACTGAAGAGAGTGAGTGCCAGTTAGCCACCGCCACCGGAGGAACCTTCGAAATCATCATCGTTGACTGCTGTTGGGCTACAATAAGACGTTTCTGAATCTTTTATTCAGTGTATTTTGGCCTTTAAACATATTATAAGAGTTTACTACAGGGATTCTGAGCTGAAATGGGGCCATCGGGTGCTGCGAGGGAACTGAGATCCTGTCAGCTTCCGTGCGGCTCGTCGCTGCTACTGGGTTGCATTATGGAAAATCTCATGAAGATGCGCCTGACTTGGTTTAGTTGTGACATTAGGAAGCCAATAACGCCAATATTTTGTTTTTCTCGCCGTTCATTGGATGTCATGCTCAGTCAGTAGGGGCATCTCACACTACTTTGTTCATCGGTTGCTTTTGCCTCTTAATGGCGTTAAGAGTAACGGAACAAAATTCGAATGATCTCGTTCTATTATAGGAAGTAGCTACAGAGATGCAAAAGCAATCAAATATTCTCTATCTAGCGAAGCATGTGCTGTGTTGAAACAGGACTGGGAGCCTTAGTTGTTCCGCAAGTTTCGAACTAGAATGTCCAGAAAGATTCCCTTCAGTATGTGGCTCTTCTTGACCACGTTTGACACACTACTTTAAAGGGAAGAAGTCTTTTTCTGGTCAACCAAAGCACAGTTCCTGAACTGTCACTCACAGTGGGTGCCCGGGGAGGACTCAGTGACACTTCCTTTCAACAAACAGGGAAGAAATACCTTTTTAAATGCCTTTATCACCCTCACTGCGACTCAAAAACTGCCTCTAGCGCCCTTAGAACGAAGCTGTGTCTACGGTTGTACGGGTAAGACACGTGAATGTGACTACGGATGAGAGCGTCGTGAGCCAGCAAGGATCTACGAAGGTTATTGCTTTTAGGGAAGAAGCTAAATAAATTAAAGAGCAGAGTGCAGGGAGAAAGAGCTGGAATGGCTTTTTCCTCTTTCGCTGCCTGTCAAGACGTGGCTGACTGCTGAAACTCGCCGACGCTCTGGGAAGAGGAGAGGAAGAGCTCTGAGGACTTCGCGCTTTTTGCATTTAATTGTATTTCTTTTTGGGATCAACAAAACAAGTTTTAGGAGTCGCATGCGGGTGTTTTCGAGAGAAGGAAGAGCTGATCATCAGCGCTCGAATGCAGTACCTGGCACTGCTGGCTTGAAGACCGCCACCGATGCTCCTGCTGCAGCTCTGCAGACGATTTGGGGCCTCTCACAGCTAACAATCTTTCAAGTTTATGTCTTTTAATTTATTTTAAAAGTGGTTGATTAATGTGTAGGGCTGAAGACGTCTTTCCGCGGGCGGCGTCCACTGGTCCTTCTTGCGTCGTGCACAGAAGACTCGGTCTGACACTCCGCAGGCGAAACTGTCGGAGTCTTTTTCTGTGCAAAGACGAATTTTGAAGACTTCTTCTATTTGAATTTAATTTGAAGTGCCTTTGCTGAGGTTTTTCTGCGGTGTCAGAAGCGTGGCTGCAGCACCGGCCAGCTGCGGCGACCGCCTGCACCTGTCGAGCCTCTCTTCTAGCCGAACGAAGTCGAGGATTTATCGGAATTTCTCTCAGCTTCACAAACAATACTTTCTTTAAAAGTATTTAAGTGTTTTGCAGCGCAAATAAACTGCAGAATGTCCCGCTGCGGCCGCCGGGGTCGGTGCTCGGCGCTGCCGGCTGGCCTCCCTGCGCTGCTGGTCTTTGCGCTGCTGCTGCTGGGCGTCTGCGAAGGGAGCGAGCGGCCAGGCGAGGATATCTTCAACTCGCGAGCAGCAGAAACACACAGCAACAGCAGCAGCAGCAGCAGCAGCAGCGCGCACCCCTGGGGCGCCACCTGCGCAGCCTACAAGTCCATAAACGTAGACTTTCCGCTGCTGCAGGCCAGGGCCTCCTACAACTTGGGGCCCCTGGTGCAGGGGGCCCCCCCGATGGGTTGGGTTTGCAAAGCAGCAGAGCCTTTGTTTGAACTAGAGGAGTACCCGCCCTTCTTCCGGTCCGTCCTATCCCTCTTGGTCGGCAGCAGCAGCAGCAGCAGCAGCAGCAGCAGCAGCAGCCACAAGCTCCACAGACACAAAGACAAACATGTCTTCTTCACCTTCAACCCCTGCAAGCTGCTGCCCCACACTTGCCACGGCTCCCGCGGCCGTCTTTACAAGTTTGCTGCCAAACTCAAAAAGCCCCACGACCCCCACGAGGAGATCAATCGCCTCCTCGCAGACTTCCTCAAGGGGCCCCCGGGGGCCCCCCCGGGGGGCCCCCAGGGGGGGGGCCCCCAGGGGGGCCCCCAGGGGGGCCCCCAGGGGGGCCCCCAGGGGGGCCCCCAGGGGGGCCCCGGGGAAGGCGAGGAGGAAGCAGACACGACGGAGTGTCTGCAGAACGTGCTTGCTGCGAACTCGACTGCGGTGTACGGACACCGGGAGGAGCTGCTGCAGCAGCACCCGGAGAGCAACGGAGTGGGGGGGTTGTGGGGCGATCCCGAAGTGAGCGACGATCCCACTCCCTGGGATCCACTGGACCCCACAGATCCCTTTGGGGGCCTCCAGGCGAGCTTCCGCCACGCCCACGTGTTTTGTCCGGAAGCTGCGCTGCACATCAACGTGCTGCTCAAGTGTCCCGCCGCTGCTGCTGCCAGCAGCAGCAGCAGCAGCGGCAGCAGCAGCAGCAGCGGCAGCAGCAGCAACTTCGAGCTCTGCGAACACTCCGACCCCTGCACCTTCCGCATGGTCATGTCTTCTACTGCGGCTTGCCCCACAGCCGTCGACTACGGCAGCGCCCCAGCAGCAGCAGCAGCAGCAGCAGCAGCGCCAGCAGCAGCAGCAGCAGCGGGGGGGCCTCCGCTCCCTGCACCCAAACACCAACCCAAGACGCAGCCAGACGGGGGGCCCCACAAAAAGGCTAGGGGGCCCTTTGAGGCAGTTGGGGCCTCAGCCATTCAGCAGGACTTGCGCAGCAGCGGGCCCCACACGCACAGCGCTTCCCCAGCAGCAGCAGCAGCAGCAGCAGCAGAGGGGGGGGAGAGCCTATGGGGCAGGCTGCCCTTCCTGCTGCTTTTGCTGCTGCGGGTTGGGCTGTGTCTGCTGATCTTTGCCTGGATAATTCACACAATTCGGGACTGGACAGAAACAAAAATGCAATATGTTCCATTTTCCGAAGACAAAGCAGCAGAAGCAGCAGCAGCAGCAGCAGCAAATGTGAATTCGTACGACAGCTGCGTGGAGGCGCTGAGGGGGCTCTCGAGCCCCCCAGCAGCAGAAGCAGCAGCAGCAGCAGCAAACGACTCCGACGGCTTCCAGCTGGCCGTGAAGTACCCAGAGGGCCCCGCCGCCAGCCGCCCAGCAGCAGCAACAGCAGCAGCAGCAGCAACAGCAGCAGCGGCAGCAGCAGCAGCAGCAAGGCCTCCGCGCCGCGCGCTGCGGGGCCTCTACTCAACCCCCGGGCGGCGGCTGCTGAGTGTCTGGCTGCCGCAAACAATGGAAGCAGCAGCGCAGCAGCTGCATGCGTTTTCGGAAGGAGCAGTGAAGGTCTGCAGCAAAGCTGCTGCTGCAGTTTCGCGCAGCAGCAGGGGCCCCGCGGGGGAGTTCACTGCTGCTGCTGCTGCTGCTGCTGGGCCCCAGTGGGAATGGACTGACGCTCTCGACCTCAGCAGCACAGAAGCTGCTGCTGCAGCAGCAGATTCTTTTCGCCAGCCCTCCCAGGGCCTCAGGGACTACGAAACCATTAACTAGCAAAAAGAAACAAAATTGTTTTGCTGCTGTTGCTGCTGCTGCTGCTTTTGCACAGCTGCAGCGCAGCACGCCTGTCTGCACACTGCAGGGCTGCAGCCGCGAAGCTCAAGTTCTTATTCAAACCTGACGCTGCAGCAGCAACTGCTGCAGCAGCAACTGCTGCAGCAGCGCCAGCGCTTGCTGAAGCAGTTGCTGCTGCAGCGCAGCAAAAGCAGCTTGCGGCAAGTGCTGCCCGGTGTCTGTACAGCAGCCGATCAGCAGCACAGGGCATTTTGGGTTTTAGCACTTCTTTGAGCGCAGACAGGGAGGCTGTTCTCTTGCTGCTGCTGCTGCAGCAGCAGCAGCAGCTGCTGCTGCTGCTGCTGGTGTCGTGTGTCGGGCGTAATTTGAATAGGCCTCTGCAGGGATGAAGTCCTCGTCTCTTTCGAGGCCGAGCTGCTGCTGCAGCTGCTGCTGGTCTGTCTGCGCCCTCTCAGCCAGCAGCTGCAGCAGCAGCAAACAGCGGCGCTTTTGTGTCGCCCAGGCGGCGTGGAGTTGCGCATGCAGCAGCTCAGCAGCAGAGGCTTCTGCTGCTGTCACTGCAGCAGGAGCCCCGCGCTGCTGCTGCGCCTGCTGCAGCCTTGCGGCGCGCTCGGCCTCAGCTGCAGCAGCAAGAACAGCAAGTGACGCATGGAGAGGCGTGAAACGGCAGGTGCTGCTGCTGCTGCTGCTGCTGCAGCAGCAGCAGCAGCAGCCAGGCAAGGATGAGACGCACCTGCAGCAACTTTGGCCTTCAAACTCTCCAGCTGCGCTCCGCGGCTCCGCGCATCTTGGAGGCGCTGCTGCAGCGCAGTTTGCTTCCTGAGTTGTTCTGCAACAGCAGCAGCAGCAGCAGCAGCAGAAGCAGCAGAAGTTGAACTGGATGGGTTTTCGCGCATTTGCTGCTGCAGTCTTACGCTCGAGCTCCTTGACCTCTTCCCGCAGTGCTGCAGCAAAAGACAGAGTTGAAGCAGCAGCTGCTGCTGCCAGAAAAGAACAACAGCATCACCTGAAAGCTCTGCTGCCATTTCGCTGCTGCTGCCAGCTGCTGCAGCGCCGAAGTGGCTCTGGGCGTACATGAAGACCTGCAGCAAGTGCAGCACGAGCAGCATCAAGTGCAGCAGCAGCAGGAGGAAGGCAGCAGGAAAAAGATCTCACGCGAGTCTTTCCTAGATCTTTTGAAATCAGAAAACCTTCCTCTACTAGCTGCTCCAGCAGCTTCTCAAGTTCAGCTTTCTTCACAGCCCGCCGCAAATTGTCGAAAATCTGAAAGCAGCAGCGCAGCAGCTGCAGCAGCGGAGCAATTTGCTTCGGGTCTGCAGCGCCTCACCAGCTGCAGGTTGTAGGGCCGATTTTGCTGCCGCATGTACCCCAGCACCAGTTCTCGCGCGGGCGTTGCAGCTGCTGCATCTCCTGCTGCTCCTGCTGCTGCAGCAGCAGCAGCAGCAGGCTCTGCCTTAGCCTTTTTCCGCCGCGGCGGCTTCTCAGCCGACGCCCGCTTGCTGCTTGCCGTCGCCGCCGGCAGCGCCGCTCCCGCAGGCTCAGCAGCTGCGGAATCCATGATTATTTAAAGGAATTTGGAGCTCTATTTGAAGATAAATACTATTAAAGTGACGCAGCAGAAGCTGACACGAAAAGTCTTACGCGCGGAGCCGCTTCCGCGATCCCGACTGGCCCGCGCGCTTCAGGTGTATGTACACCTCGCGCGGAAAGCGCTGCCGCGCCGTCCAACTTGAACGACGCGGAAAGCTGAATTAATTCGACGAATTTCATTTTATAAATACTATTTAGAGAGTCTAGACTTGCAATCCTGCTGCTGCTGAGCTGCGCACAAGAATCTGAACTACTGCAGCCACTTTACTTCGCACGCAGCACCTGTGCAACTCTCAGCAGCAGCAGCTTCGCCCAAATGCTGCAGCTTTTTGCAGCAGATAGCGCCTCCTTAAGTTCCGTTTTAAATGCTTACAGCGCTGCTGCTGCTGTTGCTGCTGCTGCTGCAGCGCAGCAGCAGCGCTGCGAGAAGTTGAACGAACTGTACAAGGGCCTCCCCAGCATGCCGCAGCCGCCCTGGTGCTTCGCATTGCTGCTGCTGCTGCTGCTGCTGCTGCATTGCAGCAGCAGCGCAGCAATAACTTGAAATGAATGGCGGCCTCCCCAGCAAGCCGAGCAGCCGAGGGCCTCAGCAGCAGAAAGTAAAGAATTTAATTGCAGTGCAGCAGCAGCTGCTGCTGCTGCTGAGAATATCTTGAAGGCGCAGCAAACATAGCTCTAAATCCTGCTAGACTATTTAGCAGCAGCAAATCAATAGGCAGCAAACAGCACTCCAGGGAAAATCCTTAAACTAAAATAAACCAACGCCCTACAGTTGCTGCAACATCTTGCTGCAGTAGCTTGCTGTAGCATCTTGCTGCAGCATCTTGCTGCAGTAGCTTGCTGCAGCATCTTGCTGCAGCATCTTGCTGCAGTAGCTTGCTGCAGCATCTTACTGCAGCATCTTGCTGCAGTAGCTTGCTGCAGCATCTTGCTGCAGCATCTTGCTGCAGTAGCTTGCTGCAGCATCTTGCTGCAGCATCTTGCTGCAGTAACTTGCTGCAGCATCTTGCTGCAGCATCTTGCTGCAGTAGCTTGCTGCAGCATCTTGCGCTGCAGCATCTTGCGCTGCAACATCTTGCTGCAGTAGCTTGCTGCAGCATCTTGCGCTGCAGCATCTTGCTGCAGTAGCTCGTTGCAGCATCTCGCTGCAGCATCTTGCTACAGTAGCTTGCTGCAGCATCTTGCTGCAGCATCTTGCTGCAGCAGCTTGCTGCAGTGTCTATATACCCGCTTCAGGGGCGCCGCAGAGGCTGCAGCAGCAAGCCGACGCTGCAGCAGTAGCAACCAAAGCAGCATCTGCGGAGTGGTGCTGCTGCTGCACTATTTGCAGTTGCTGCGCCTGCTGCAGCTAGTGAGGTTGCTGCACCTAGTGATGTTTGTGCGGCTGCCGCAGCAACTTCAGCTGCAGCGGTCTGCAGCTGCTGCTGCTGCTGCAGTGTGCCGCTGCTGCTGCTGCTGCAGTTTGCTGCTGCTGCTGCTGCTGCTGCGGTGTCTGCAGAGTGAGCAGCGGCAGTGTCTTGTCTGGCCATCAGTGCCTTTAGCACATTCGAATTTAAATTTCAGATGTTTAATTTTCCTTTCTCCACAATTAAAAATTGCTTCCCAATTCCGAACAGACTGCTGCGCCCCCGCAGCAGCAGCAGCAGCAGCAGCAGCAGCGCGTGTCTTCACTTCTGCAGCTGCCCCCCTGCGCAAAGACCCCGCCGCCTCCTCAAGCCTCCCTCCCCCCCTGCCGCCCCTCCCCCTCCCCCTCCCCCTCCCCCCGCTGCTGCTGCTGCTGCTGCTGCTGCTGCTGCTGCTGCTGCTGCTGCTGCTGCAGGCGGCGCTTGAGCGCAGCAAGCCTGCGGCGCTCCGCCTCCACCCACTCGAAGTCGTCCGGGCGCATCAAAAAGGCCGTCAGCCAAGTGAGGCCGAGGCCGAAGCAGGCGAGGCCCAGGCCCAGCGTCGTGGCCTTCGCGCAAACCCTAAACCCTAAACCCTAAACCCTAAACCCTAAACCCTAAACCCTAAACCCTGAACCCTAAACCCTCGGCCCGGGGCCCGCGGCCCCGGGATCGCTGGGCAAAAAGAAGCAGCGACGCTCCCCCGAAAACGCCACGCAAAGCACACACGCCCACCACACTCCAACCCTAAACCCTAAACCCTAAACCCTAAACCCTAAACCCTAAACCCTAAGGAGTGCCAGTTGGACCCTAGGGCTCTCCAGAGGCGCGGAAGCGGGCCCAGAGGGAACCCATGCAACACCGCACACCTCTCAAACCCCAACCCCAAACCCCAAACTCCAAACCCCAAACCCTAAACCCTAAACCCTAAACCCTAAACCCTACTTTGAGCTCTTTGGAGAAGCGCTGGGGGCGGCCCCACATGAACTGGTGGAACTTCTCGCGGGGAATGTCGAAAGGGTCGGGGGCCCCCAGGGGCCTCTTATAAGACCCGTCATAAGGGTTTGGGGCCAGGGGCCTCTGGGCCTCGATTTCGTCCCCCGGGTGCTGCTGCTGCTGCTGCTGCTGCTGCTGCTGCTGCGGGGCCCCGCGCAGCTGCAGCAGCGAACGCAGGCTCGCCACGCGGCGAAGCCCAGGTGTACAGACACCCCAACTCCAGACACACCCTGAAGGGCGAATTGACACTTCTGCAGAAGACCTGCAGATAAGATCTGCAGAAAGGGGAAATCTGCTGCTGCTGCTGCTGCTGCTGCTGCTGCGGCTGGTGCTGCTGCGGCTGGTGACGCTGCGGCTGGTGCTGGTGCTGGTACGGCTGCTGCTGCTGCTGATGCTGCTGATGCTGCTGCTGCTGCTGCTGCTGCTGCTGGTGAGGGAAAGGGCGCAGCGGCGACTCGCGGCGGCCAGCGGCCCCATGGCTGCAGCAGCTTTCGAAAAAGAAAATAAAAATTTAAATAAATAAAAAAGAAAAGACTTTCAGTTAAAACAAAAATAACAAATTAAATTAAAATAATTAACACAAAAGCCCAGGAGGGACCCCTAAATGCTCCCAGAAGGACAACAGCAGCAACGCATTTCAACACCGGCTGCTGCTGCTGCTATTGCTGTTGCTGCTGCTGCTGCAGCTGTCTTCCGTGTTGCTGCTGCGGTTGCCGCTGTTACTACATGCGGTGGTGGTGGTGGCGCTGCTGCTGCTGCTTTTCGCCTCTTGTTGCGGTGTTGTTGCTGCTGCTGCTGCTGGTGTTGCCGCAGCTGCTGCTGCTGCTGCTGTTGCTGCTGCTGCTGCCCCTGAAACAGCGCTTCGTCGCAGCAAGGAAACAGAAGCGCCAGGGCCTTTCACACACTTTCTGCTGCAGCTGGCGTTGGGAAGCTGTGCAGGGGAAAACCCTAGGTTTTAGGGCTTAGGGTTTAGGGTTTAGGGTTTAGGGTTTCTGAGGGTTAAAAGTATAGCGGCGGGCTGGCTGCTGCGTCTGTGCTAGGGCGCGCTGTAGCGGGACTGCGCTGGGGCTGCATGCGGCGATCAGAGGATAGAAAGGCACTTTTATTGTTCTTTTTTCCTTTTAAACGTTGAAATTTAATTAAATCGATATTTTAATTTAATTTAATTTCAATTTAAACGAGAATCTTCGCCATTTCCGCTGGTCTGCGTCCCAGGGCGCCCCGGCGCCGCCACGCCGCGGCTTGCAGCCGCGCCAGCCGAATTCTTTTTTTTGTTTTTCTTCTTTTTAATTTATTATTTAATTAAATTTAAAATAGTTATTTATTCCTGGTTGTCAGCTGCTGCTGCTGCTGCTGTTTCTGCTCCGCCGACAGCAGCGTTTGTTGCTGCCAGCTACCTCACGCGCATGAGGTGTACGTACACCTCAGCGCCCACTCTCTCCGCGGCCTAGCCCTCTCCGTGTTGGTCATTTAATTCAGTTTGCTGCTGCTGCGCTGCAGAAGCTGTCAGCAGCAGCAGCAGCAGTAGCAGCAAATGCAGGGGCTCGAGCTGCAGCTTGGGTGTGCTGCCTTCAGGGGCCCCGCAGCAGCACGGGGGGCCCCTTGAGCTGCAGCAGCAAAAGTCTCGAAATTGGGTTTATTTTTTTTGTTTCCCCCCCCTTTTTTCCGCTTTTTGGATCTTATTTGCTGCTGCATCTCTCTCTGCTATTCCCTTAGCTGCTGCTAGCAGCTCTTGCGCCAGTTTCTCCTCTTTTTTCCATTTGCTGCTGCAAAATGCTGCCACCGGGAGACCCCGAAGACGCAGACAACTCCATCTTAAGGCGCAAAAGGCGGGCCCCTGCTTCTCCGCTGCAGCAAGCAGCGCAGCAGCAGCAGCAGCAAAGCGAAGATGCTGCAGCACTTGAAGACAGTTTGATGGCGCTGCTGCTGCCAGAGGGGGCCTCAGCAGCAGCAGAAG